CACTCTGTGAGCAATACAGAGGCAAGGACCAACAGTAGCAAGGAACTGTGCAAAGAAACAACAGCATACAGTGAGGGGATAGGACGAGGGTAAAGAGCAAAGAAATACCTCAGGGAAACATTACCAGGCCACCGGAAAGTCTGGGAGATGGTAAGGGAGAGCGCCAAGGAGATACATAAATCAGATCCAGAGATACGGAGGGAAACAAAATGGGATGAGGAAAGGAGACGATAATCATTATTCATGGGATTCCTGAGGCAGAAGGGAACACATGATGAGAAAAGACAGGGAGAGATTAAAGAGACTGAACCCAGACCCTCACTGTGTGAAGCGAGAACTTTTGTCACCAGGCCACAGGCCACCGTGTAATGGAATTAGTGAATATAAAGTGCAGGAAGGCAGTGGAGAAGTTTGTTTCAAAGGACAACAGAAACAACAGTAATATTAGAGCCCGAGGTTTACCAAGAGGTGTGGAGAGGTCAAAACCAAGTGTCCAAGAACATGGAAAATGTATAGAAGGCAAAGGACCCAGGAAAACAGTTGAACAAAAGAGCCAGAAATGAATATGCATGAATAAGGTGAGAAGCTCAGTATAAATACAAGAATAACATACCATAAAAATAGCCAAATCTGACCCAAAGTTGTTATACAGCTACATCAGGAGAATCAGGGAATCAGATTGAGGAAGGAAGGAGAGAGAGGAGCTCACGAAGAACGATCAGGAAATATGTGAAGAGCTCAGCTCAGTACTCAGGGAGATATTCACGGTGGAGACAGAGAGACTCCCAGAAAAACGAGGTGGTAGGGTGCACCAGCAAGTGCTGGACACACTGTACACAATTGAGGATTAGGTGTAGAAATTCCTAGGGGAATTACATACCTATGAAGCCAGTGGGCCCAGATAATATCTCTTCTTGTGTCTTGAGAGAGGGAGGGAACACACTGTGTGAGCATCTAACAACAATTTTCAATAATCCTATTGAAACAGGGCATCTGCTTGAGGTGTGGAAGACAGAAAACGTAGTCCCAATTTTTAAGAAAGTAGACAGAGAAGCTGCACTAACCTACAGACCGGTGTAGATGACATGCATTGTATGTGAAGTTATGAAGAAGATTGTCGGGTAAAGAATGGTTTAATACCTAGAACACAATGGCCTGATACATGACAACCAGCATGGCTTTTGGAGAGGGAAATTCTGCATCATTAACCTATTGGAGATCTATGACAAGGTAACAAAAGTAAGACAGGGGAGAGATGGATAGGTAGACTTCATTTTCTTGGAATATGGGAAGGTTTTCAACACAGGTTCACACAAGATATTGGTTAAAAATTTTGAGGAGCAGGCAGGAATAGGAGGGAAAGTACTGAATGGATCAGGAAATACCTGACAGAAAGGAAAAAACTTGTGTCGGTTCGAGACAAGGTGTCACAGTGGTTCCATGTATCGAGTGGGGTTCCACAAAGGTCAGTCCGTCCGGTGATGTTTCTTGTATTTGTGAATGATATAAGGGAAGGGAGAGAGTCAGAGGTGTCCCTGTTTGCAGACAATGTGAAACTAATGAGCAGATTACAAGAGGAAGAGGATAAGGTAAATTTACAAGGGGATATCTACAGAGTGCAAGTTGGGTCTGACAAATGGCTCCTGGAGTTTGATTAATCCAAGAAAGTGCAAAATTATGAAGATTAAGGAAGGACAGATCACAGCCTTAAAGATCAAAGGCTGCAAAACTCACTCAAGGAAAAGAGCTTAGGGTAAGCATCACAGCGAGCACATCGTCTGAGGTGCACATTAACCAAATAACTGCTGCGGAATACGGGCGCCTGGCAAACCTGAGAATAGCGTTTCATTATCAAGGTAAGGAGTCATGCATGACACTGTATACCGTGCACGTCAAGCCCATGCATCAACATTTCAGAGGTAGTAACAGAGAGAGAGACAGGAGAGGATGAACCAGCGAGACTGGACCTATTATTCACTTTGAGTAGTGCAGATATTGAGGACATCACATATGAAAGACCCTCGGATCTAGTGATCATGTGATTCTGAGAAAACATAGTAGAGTTACAAGTAGAGAGAGAAGCAAGAAGGGCAGGATGAAGTCAGACTAGAAGAGAGGGGACTAAACAGGATTAAGGGGCTTCTTGCACGAGGTTCAGTGACAATAATATGCGAAGAAGCAGAGGAGAGTTTCATACCAAAGAGAAACAGAAATAATGAAATGGCGAGGATGAGCCCTTGGTTCTCCCAAAGGTGTAGAGACGCCAAAAATAAGTGTCCCAGAGAATGGAACAATTATTAAAGACGAAGGATCCAGGATAATAAGGAGAGTAGTTAAAGAGCCAGAACTGAAAATGTTCAGGTAAGAAGGGAGGCCCAACAGCAATACGACAATGGCATAGCAGCGAGCGCCAACTCCATCTTGAGGAAAACAACACTAAAGAACCATGTAATCAAGCTCAAGAAAGAAGGAAGGAAGCTCACAATAAATGACCAACAAATATGTGAGCAGCTCAACAAGCGATTTAAAGAAGTATTCAGCGTGAAGACAGAAAGGACTCTGAAAACACGGAGTGGGGGGATACTCCATCAAGTGTTGGACACAATAAACACAGCCGAGGAGGAGGTAAAGAGACTGCTAAGTGAACTAGATACCTCAAAGGTAATGGGGCCAGATAATATCTATCCGTGGGTCCTGAGAGAGGGAGCAGAGACGTTCTATGTGCAAATAACAACATCTATCGAAACAGGGCGATTACCTGAGATATGGAAGACAGCAAGTGTAGTCCCAAATTTTAAAAAACGAGACAGACATGCAGCATTAAACTATAAACCAGGAAAAGATTATCAGGAGAAGAGTGGTGGAGCATCTGAAAAGGAATGAGCTTATCAGCGACAACCAGCACGGATGGGAAATCCTGTGTCATAAACCTCCTAGAGTTCCATGACAAGGTAACAAATAAAACAAGAGAGGGATGGGTAGATTGCAGTTCCCTTGACTTAAAAAAGCTTTCGACAAAGTTCCACACAAGAGATTAGTGCAAAAGCTGGAGGTCCAGGCTGGTATAACAGGGAAAGCACTGCAGTGGATAAGAGAATACCTGACATAAAGGCAACAGCGAGTCATGGTATGTGACGAGGTGTCGGAGTAGGTGACTGTGACGAATGGGGTTCCACAGGGGGTCACTTCTAGGACCGGTGCTGTTTCTGGTAAATATGAATGATATGATAGAAGGAATAGACTCAGAAGTGTCTCTGTTTGCACACGATGTAAACTTAATGAGAATTCAATTGGAGGAGAACCAGGCAGACTACAAAGGATCTGGAAAGGCTACAGGCCTAGTCTGGCAAGTGGCTCCTGGAGTTCATCCCCGCCAAATGCAAAATCATGAATATCGAGGAAGGGCAAACAAGACCACAGACAGAATACAGCCTAGGGGGCCAAAGACTACAAACCTCTCTCAAGGATGAGGATCTTGGGGAGAGTATAATACCAAACATATCTCCTGAGGCGCACATCAACCAAATAACTCGTGCTGTGTAGAATCTGGTTAGATAAGTACACTTTCCTGCATGCTAATAACCATAAGACAAACGTTATTTATCTTTAAGCAGCACGATTTCCAACAGCCACTCCTTAGAAGTCCCTTCGGGTTGCTGTATCAGTGGCCACAGATATATGCTCCCAAAGGAACGTATATCCAGCATGTCACTATTTGCTAAGTGTGATGCTGATGAATGTTCACATGGTTTGGGCGTGAAGTCAGCAAATTACGACCTCGAATAGATCAGCCCTAATCACAAATTCACTATTGTCTTCGTTCTCAGTGGGAGATTTTGTGACGTATTCACGCTCTGATGTCTGAATTCAACCTAGCTTGTCACCAAGCCCCGCGTCCATCAGCTCATCATCCGCTCAAATGAACTGCTAAGTTCAGTTTTATATCCACTCGTTGCTAGTCTGTACAATCAGAAGTAACACAAGAGAGTAGGTTTCTTGTTATTTAGCTGTAGACTGGAAGTCAAATATCCCTGAGTTGTAGACCAAGTGGGGCGCAGGTTTTCTCTTAATTTTCCTGCAATGGGTAAAAGAGTAATTACTTTTTTTCGTTTTAGACCCTCATTGTGTAGTTGATCAGAAATTCTAGCAAGGAGAGACCTGTGCATGGAGATGCCTGGTACACATGTGTTCCTTATAAAACTGTTGTGGGAATTAGGAAAAGTCTTCTAACCCTTTGTGAGAGTGCTAAGTCTTTCAGAGGGCAGTGGGCTGAGAGATACCCCTTCCCCTTATCAATCTGGAGATTTTTCAACACAGGTGCAACATATGGGCGACTAGCAAACCTAAGAATAGCTTTCCGACATCTTTGTAAGGAGTCATTCAGGACTCTGTACACCGTGTACGTCAGGGCTATATTGGAGTATGCAGCATCAGTTTATAACCCACACCTGTTTAAGCAACTCATGAAATTAGAGAGTAGTAAACGTTTGCAACGAGACTAGTCACTGAGCTAAGGGGTATGTCCTACGAGGAGAGGTTAATTGACCTGAAGACAATGGAGGACAGGAGGGCCAGAGGAGACATGATAACAACATGTAAAATACTTAGAGGAATGGACAAGGTGGACAGAGATAAGATGTTCCGGAGATGGGATACAGAGACAAAGAGTCACAATTGGAAGTTGACGACTCAGATGAATCACATATTTGTTAGGAAGTATTTCTGGAAAGTGAGGTGGTGGAGGCAGGATTCATACATAACTTTAAGAAAAGGTATGATAAAGTTCATGGAGCAGAGAGTGTGACCTAAAAGCGACCAGGGAAGAGGACGGGGCCATGAGCTATGAATCGACCCCTGCAACCACACACACACACACACACACACACACACACACACACACACACACACACTCTAGACCAGAATATAAAAAGAACATAACACAATGTATGAAAAAATAAATAATACAAAAATAACGGAAAACATATTATCTGGTACAATACCTTTATTCACCACAGCATAATATAAGCTGGTGTTATTATAGTTGTCTTTTATGTTGGGATCACAGCGGGAATCATTTAATAACACTTGAAGACATTCAGCATCGTAGAGTTCTGATCTCCAGTAATAAGAAGTGTCGAACCTGAGAGTGCAGTGTAGTGGTGTCATGCCGTTATCATCCTGACAGTTGGGGTCAGCACCAGCATCAAGCAGCATCTTAACACAGTCATCATGACCCTTCACAGCTGCTATGTGAAGAGCTGTTCTACCTGCAACATCAAAAAATGATAATTTGTTAACAAATAATTTTGCAGGATGGCTAGAAAAATAAAAACTTACATCATAATTCACTCCACCACTGTCTTGTCAGAGGCTCACCTACATCACTGTTATAAAACTACAACATTAACTCCCCTCCTTCAGAGTGCAGACACTGTACTTCCCATCTCCGGGACTCAAGTCCGACCTGAATCCCTTCAAAAATGTTCCTAGCTCCCTCCAACAGCACGTCAAGTCCTAAAAGAGCATTTGTCTCCATTTACTCCTATCTAACATGCTCACGTACGCTGCTGGGAGTCCAAGCCCCTTGCACACAAAACTTCCTTTACCCCCTCCCTCCCACCTTTCCTAGGCCGACCCCTACTCTGTCTTTCCTCCACTACAGATTTATACACTCTCTCGATTTACACTCTCGTTTCTTCCTCTCTATATGTCCAAAAACATCTCAACTCCTCCTCAGCCCCCTGGATAATAGTTTGGTAATCCCACACCTCCTAATCTCCAAACTACAGATTCCCTGCATTATATTCATGCCACACATTGCCCTCAGACATGACATCTCCACTGCCTCCAGCCTTCTCCTTGTTGCAACATTCGCTACCCATGTCTCACACCCATACAAGAGCGTTGGTATAACATTACTCTCATACAATCCTCTTTTTGCTTTCATCGATGAAGTTCTTTGTCTCTACAGACTCCTCAGTGCACCACTCACCTTTTTCCCCTCGTCAAGTCTATGATTCACCTCATCCTTCAAAGACCCATCTACTGACATGTCCATTCTCAAATATCTGAGCACATTCACCTCTTAAATACTCTCTCCCTCACATTCTATACCGAATATTCTGTTACTTAATTTTTAAGTTATCCTAATCACTTTACTCTTTCCTATATTCACTTTTAATTTCCTTCTTTTACATACCTTAACAAACTCATCCACCAACCTCAGCATCTTTTCTTCAGAATCTCTCAAAAGCACAGTGTCATCAGCAAAGAACAACTGCGACAGCTCCCACTTTGTGTTAGATTCTTTATCTTTTAATCCCACACCTCTTGCCAACACCTGAGTATTCACTTCTTGTACAGCTCAATCTATAAATATATTGAACAACCATGGTGACGTCACACATCCCTGTCTAAGGCCTTCTTTTAATGGGAAATAATCTCCCTGTAGCCTACATTCTCTAACCTGAGCTTCACTATCCTCGTAAAAACTTTTCACCGCTTTCAATAACCTACCTCCTATTCCATACATTTGCAACATCTGCCACATTATCCTCATAACCGCCCTAACATATGCCTTTTCCAAATCCAGAAATGACCCAAAAACCTTTTTACCCTTATCTAAATACTGTACACCTATATGTTTCATTGCAAACACTTGGTCTACACACCCCCTACCTTTCCTAAAGCCTCCTTGGTCATCTGCTATCCTGCTCTTCGTCTTACTCATAATTCTTTCAATAATAGGACTATCATACTCAACAGATTTATTCCCCTCTTTTGTCCCATTTGCCTTTATATTAAAAAATTATGCATACTCTCTGCCAATCCCTAGGTACCTTACCCTCTTTCACACTCTTATTAAATAAAAACAGTAACCACTCCAAAACTATATCCCCACCTACTTTTAATATTTCTATTTTTATCCCATCAGTTCCAGCTGCTTTACCCACTTTCATTTTACTCACTGCCCCATGCACTTCCTCCACACTCACAACTGGGGGCTCTGGTGGCCTGGTGGCTAAAGCTTTCGCTCCACACTTCGAGGACCTGGGTTCACTTCCCATCCAGTGTAGAAACATTGGGCGTGTTTCTTTACGCCTCTTGTCTATGTTCGCCATCAGTAGAATGGGTACCTGGGTGTTAGTCGACTGGTGTGGGTCGCATCCTGGGACTCTGACCTAATTTTCCCTAAATGCAAAGGATAACAAGCGGTTTTCTGTATAGTAGAATGTCATTGATGTCAGCTATTGCCTGTATACCATGTACATGTACTTGTCGTAAATAAAGATATTATTATTATTCCTCACTCCTAGAAGATGTAATTCCTCCTTGCCCTAGACAAGAAATCACAGCTTCCCTATTTTCATCAACATTTAACAATTCCTGAAAATATACCCCCTATCTATCTGATACCTCAAACTCTCTATTTAATAACTCTCCTCTCCTATTTTTACTAACTAATCCATTCTTTTCCTAGGCTTTCTCAGCTTATTAATGTCACTCCAAAACTTTTTCTTATTTTCAACAAAATTTGTTCATAACATATCACCCACTCTCTCATTTGCTCTCTTTTTACATTGCTTCACCACTCTCTTAACCTCTATTTTTCTCTCAGTATACTCGTCCCTCTTTGCATCACTTCTTCTTTTTAAAAACCTCTCATATGCTAACTTTTTCTCTCTTACTTCTCTCTTTACATCATCATTCCATCAATCGCTCTTCTTCCCTCCTGCACCCACTTTCCTGTAACTACAAACTTCTGCTGAACACTTTAACACCATATTCTTAAACTTACCCCATACATCTTCTACCTCATTATCTATAATCTCACTAGCCCATCTGTCCTCCAACTGTTGTTTGTATCTTACCCTAACTGCCTCCTCCTTTAGTTTATAAACCTTCACTTCTCCCTTACTTGCTGCCACCATTTACTTTGTATCCTATCTACATTTTACTCTCACTGTAGCTACAACTAAAAAGTGACCTAATATAACTGTGGCCCCTCTTTAAACATGTACATGCTGAAATCTACCCAAAAATCTTGCATCTACTATTATGTAGCCTAGCAAACTACTGTCATATCTTGTATACTTATTTATGCACTTTTTCTTAAAGTATGTGTTACCTATAACCAAAACCCACTCTATACAAAGTTCAATCAAATGCCCCCATTACCATTTACACTTGGCACCCCAAACTTACCTAACACACCCTCTCTAAACGCTTTTCCTACTTTAGCATTTAGGTCCCCTCCCACAATTATTCTCTTACTAGGCTCAAAAGTTCCTATACACTCGCTTAAAATCTCCCAAAATTTCTCTATCTCCTCTACACTCCTCTTTTCTCCAGGTGCATATACACTTATTACGATCCACTTTTCAGATCTGACCCTTATTCTAATCCACATAATCCTTGAATTTATACATTTATATTCCCTCATCTCTCTCCATAACTGATCCTTTAACATTATTGCTACCCCTTCCCTAGCTCTAACTCTCTCAGATACTCCTGACTTAGTTCCATTTATTTCTCCCCTCTGAAACTACCCTACCCCCGCCATCTTTGTTTCGCTTAGGGCCAGGACATCCAACTTCTTTTCATTCATAACATTAGCAATCATTTCTATTCTATCATCCGCACTATATCCATGCACATTCAAACTTCCCAATTTTAAAAAGATTTTTTTTTCCTTGTTTTTATCACTTTTTACAGGAGAAGGATTACTAGCCCATTGCTCCCGGCATCTAGTCACCTCCTACTACACGCATAGTTCACGGAGGAAGAATTCTTTTCCACTTCCCAATGGAGATAAGAAGAATTAAAGAAGAACAAGAACTAGGAAGAACTAGGAAGAAAACAGTATACATATGTTTGTACATGTATGTGTAGTGTGACCTAAGTGTAAGTAGAAGTAGCAAGACATATCTGCAACCTTGCATGTTTATGAGACAGAAAAAGACACCAGCAATCCTAGCATCATTCAAAACTATTACAAGATTATTATTATTACTATTATTATTATTATTATTATTATTATTATTATTATTATTATTATTATTATTATTATTATTATTAATATTATTATTATATTATTAGAATATTATTATTATATTATATTATTATTATTATTATTATTAATATTATTATTATTATTATTATTATTATTATTATTATTATTATTATTATTATTATTATTATTATTATTATTATAATAATAATAAATGCTGTTAATACATTAGCAGTTTCCCAGTGAAACACTTTCATTATCATTCACTCCATCACTGTCTTGACAGAGACGCGCCTATATTACAGTTAAAAACTACACAATATCTGCACCTCTTTTTCCAAGTGCCAGCACTATACCTCCACCTCCAGGACTTACACCCTGCCAGCACTATACCTCCACCTCCAGGACTTACACCCTGCCAGCACTATACCTCCACCTCCAGGACTTACACCCTGCAGCACTATACCTCCACCTCCAGACTTACAACCCTGCCAGCACTATACCTCCACCTCCAGGACTTACACCCTGCCAGCACTATACCTCCACCTCCAGGACTTACACCCTGCCAGCACTATACCTCCACCTCCAGGACTTACACCCTGCCAGCACTATACCTCCACCTCCAGGACTTACACCCTGCCAGCACTATAACCTCCACCTCCAGACTTACAACCCTGCCAGCACTATACCTCCACCTCCAGGACTTACAACCCTGCCAGCACTATACCTCCACCTCCAGGCTTACACCCTGCCAGCACTATACCTCCACCTCCAGGACTTACACCCTGCCAACACTATACCTCCACCTCCAGGACTTACACCCTGCCAGCACTATACCTCCACCTCCAGGACTTACACCCTGCCAGCACTATACCTCCACCTCCAGGACTTAGATCCTGCCAGCACTATACCTCCACCTCCAGGACTTACACCCTGCCAGCACTATACCTCCACCTCCAGGACTTACACCCTGCCAGCACTATACCTCCACCTCCAGGACTTACACCCTGCCAGCACTATACCTCCACCTCCAGGACTTACACCCTGCCAGCACTATACCTCCACCTCCAGGACTTACACCCTGCCAGCACTATACCTCCACCTCCAGGACTTAGATCCTGCCAGCACTATACCTCCACCTCCAGGACTTACACCCTGCCAGCACTATACCTCCACCTCCAGGACTTACACCCTGCCAGCACTATACCTCCACCCCCAGGACTTACATCCTGCCAGCACTATACCTCCAACTCCAGGACTCAGGTCTTGTCAGTGCTATACTCCCACCTTCAGGACTTAGGCCCTGCCAGCACTATACCTCCACCTCCAGGACTCAGGCCCTGCCAGCACTATACCTCCACCTCCAGGACTTACACCCTGCCAGCACTATACCTCCACCTCCAGGACTTAAATCCTGCCAGCACTATACCTCCACCTTCAGGACTTACACCCTGCCAGCACTATACCTCCAACTCCAGGACTTACACCCTGCCAGCACTATACCTCCACCTCCAGGACTTACACCCTGCCAGCACTATACCTCCAACTCGAGGACTCAGGTCTTGTCAGTGCTATACTCCCACCTTCAGGACGTAGGCCCTGCCAGCACTATACCTCCACCTCCAGGACTCAGGTCCTGCCAGCTCTATACTCCCACCTTCAGGACTTAGGTCCTGCCAGCACTATACCTCCAACTCCAGGACTCAGGTCTTGTCAGTGCTATACTCCCACCTTCAGGACTTAGGCCCTGCCAGCACTATACCTCCACCTCCAGGACTCAGGCCCTGCCAGCACTATACCTCCACCTCCAGGACTCAGGTCCTGCCAGCACTATACTCCCACCTTCAGGACTTAGGCCCTGCCAGCACTATACCTCCACCTCCAGGACTCAGGCCCTGCCAGCACTATACCTCCACCTCCAGGGCTCAGGTCCTGCC